ATATAGTTTATATAGGGAAATAACACTTTTCGGTATATATTTTATCCATTTTCAGCAGAAAATTGCTCAAACTTAGTCAGAATCATCTTGGGTAAATGAGAGTTTTACTTTGTAAAATTAGGATTCCTGCCCCATCCCCAGGGGCTAGGGCGGGGCCCCAAAGGGAACATTTACCAATATTTTCAAATTCTTATCCATTGATGACATGACAAGTATTGTATTTCACTTAGTTTACATGCTGATTTCCACATCACATCTAAACAATAAAATAAAGCTACCAGTATCTATGATATAACTCAGGTGACCGCTAAGGCCCTTGGGCCTCTTGTTATTGTTAGAAATTTAGAAATACTGTGAATGAAGCCTTTTGTTCAAGTAATATTGTGTTTTCCTACTTAGATTTTGGATGTTCATAATTTGTTACATACACAAAAAGTATGCAATAACTGAAGGTACATCTACACAAAGTAGAGATAGATTTTATTAATCCAATGTGTTTATTAAACAGGTGCCCGCACCACAGAGGGGAGAAATTGTTAGACAGATGGGGGAAGCTTTGAGGAAACACAAGAATGCTCTTGGAAAATTGGTAAGTTATCCAGCAGAGGCTTGTGATAGATGTGTATTAACCTGCAAAGTATTGGAGGCAATTGTTGTCATTTGAAGTAAATATGGTTTTATGAAATGTTTTGATATCAAGGTTAATATTCCACATTACATGTACCAAGGTACATTGTTTATGTTACCAGCTAGACTACAAGTTCAGGACAACATACAGTGATTAAGAACAGGAAGAGAAAAGTCTTGATCAAGATTGCTCGGTGGAATACTTTATGTATTAGTTGCAGTTAAATATGATTCTGAATTGTCCTGATGATAATTTGTGGGCACATGTTTTTTGTCGGAGAATATAACCATGATCTTCAAATTCTAGCTTATGCTATTGACACTTTTCAGTAAAAGGTTATGTCTTTGCATTTGTAGGAAGCCCTCGAGGTGGGTAAGATCCTGGCTGAGGGTGAAGGTGAGGTACAGGAATATATTGACATCATTGACTATGCTGTTGGACTTTCAAGGATGTTTGCAGGGCATGTCTTTCCATCAGAACGTAAGCGTTGATACAAAATAGATTGTTGCTTTACTTAAATTTGATGTTAACAGGTTACCACAATTAGTGTTACCTGATCAATTCATTTCTAAAAGTAAATATATTGTTACAGAAACAAGAAATCTATCACTCAAACACTTAACCCTTTCACCCCTATGTAACTTTAGTAGACTCTACCGTGGATTGATCTGGATGAGTCCATTATGGTCTACAGTGGTGAAATGGTTAACATACCATAGTTTTGACTATTAACACTCGCACACTTCTATGTAAATGTGTACAACCAAATACATCACTTGCTCGGGATGCTTTACTTCTGTCAAGGCCATAACTTATTAAAAGGTCAGAGTATGGAGACAAATACATGTATATATGAAAAACTTTCTCGGGTAATATTTTAAATCAAAACGAATTCTTTTATTAAAGGAAAAAAGGGGCCTGGGAAAGAAACTGGTACATATTTGTCTGCCGTTGACCCTTACTCTGCCACAGAGCAAACTGGTTCATTATCAATACATTTAAGATGCATGTTCATAACAAACTCATAAATCTTAACAAATTCATTTCCACAATTGTATTGACCTAGAAAACTGTTTGATGTAGATGCTTGTTTCTTAACAGATATGTATGCATGTAACACTCCCAAAGATGAAAAATATGTGAAGAAATTAGACTGATTGAAAACACTAATATTAATGTTTGGAAGTGATCATGTGGCCATAAATATTTTAGAGGATTCAATAGAAAAAGAGGCTTCATCTGTGGGAAATCAAACGTAAAGAATATCTGCTCTTAATATTTAAGATTTGGTATCTAGTTTAGAGTTTTATCTTTGTTTAAGGTCCCGGACACTTGTTGATGGAGCAGTGGAACCCTTTGGGAGTGGTCGGCGCCATCACCGCATTCAACTTCCCTGTAGCTGTATACGGCTGGAACTCCTCCATTGCACTTATTTGTGGAAACACCATGTTATGGTAATAGAGACAATGTATTTATAGGACTGTAAACAGAGAACTAGTCATGGAATTTTTCAACTCTTCATGTTTTTGACATTTTCCCACTGACAATCATATTTTAATATATATTTTATAATGCATGAATGTAAATATATTTTTGCTCTGATTGGCTTTACTACAAATTTTTCAAATCAAGTTTGTCCCCGAAATATTTTTCAGATGATTAAAGGAATTGAAGATATTTTAAAATTATTAAAATTTTATTGATTTTAACTTGAATTTAACTTTCCTGTGATCATTAAAATATGATTTCATATTATAGGAGTTCAAATAACAAAGCTGAGTGATATAGAATTATGCTTAGTTCATTTGAATATGATTAGTTCTAATAATATATCTTTTGTGCACTTTATCTTAATAATCTTAGGTTAAGAGTTGGGAGGGAGACATGTTTATTGGCACCTTCTCATTAAATTTTATATTGAGTTATCTGTTAGTGTGATATCTAGTTATCTATCATAATTATGTCTTCCCTTCGATTAAAGATATACTTACTGTATAAGTACTGGTTCTTCTTGTTCTGGGTCTTATTATATGATCTTGCCCGGGCCGTAACTTTTAAACCGTTAAAGATATCTTGATGAAACTTGAATTTTACCTGCATCCATAGAAGATGTGCAGTGTACTGTCACTATGTCATTTGACCTTGACCCCAAGGTCAAGGTCAAAGGTCAAATATGTGCCAATTTTTCAGGAACATCTTGTCCGGGCTGTAACTTTTAAACCATTAAGATATCTTGATAAAAGTATACAAGTATACCTGCATCACCCTCAGACAATGTGCAGTGCACTGTCATGAGGTCATTGTGACCTTGACCCAAAGGTCAAAGGTAAAAAAAAGTCTGATTGTTTCAAACATGTATAGGGGAGGCCAAGGTGATAACCAATGGGCCTCACTGTGTCTAACTTTGCTTAATCTTAGTATACAAGTATATGATGGGCTTGTAAAATCTATCCAAGCATCATTTGCGACTTTGGGGTCAGTTTTGAGGACTTCTGTATTAAATGGTTCCCATTTTAATTAGAACTTGTTCATATATGCATTTTATAATTTAGCAATAGGCAGTTCCTCTAATAATAAGATCAAATAAGTGCTTAGTTAAAGATATCCTGATAAAAATCTTGCAGTATATCTGCATCACCCACAGACGATATACAGTGCACTGTTTTAGGTCACTGTGACGTTAACCTTGAGGTCAAAGGTCAGATAAGTGCAAAGTTTTCAGGAATATCCTGACCAGGCTGTATCTTTTAAACCGCCAAAGGGGCAACATATGTTTTTGTTCACAAAAATAAATCTAGTTTGAAATATTTCAGTAAATTCCATCATAAAATAATGATTTTTTTAGTAAGCTTTGTCCTTTTTTTACAGGAAAGGAGCTCCTACTACCCCCCTGGTCAGTGTAGCTGTCACAAAGTAAGCTGATAATACCCGCGGTAGAATCCTTGTTTAATTGCAGTTAACAAGCATACACCTTTTTACTGTGATTAAATATTCTTTAGTCTACAAAGGGTATCAATGACAAAATGGTTATATTTGTATAGGTGATTTCAAAAATGATGAGTAAAGCATAAATGGAAAATTGAATATGGAACTACCGGTATTTATTTTTGTCACCAGCTTGCTGCAAATTTCATTTTTTTGGTGTTTTTTTTGTAATTTTAATAAATCTTGTGCAGCTTCTGCATGCTAAGATGTGTTAATTGTCTTTTCAGGATTTTAGCCTCAGTATTGGAAGCCAACAACCTACCAGGTGCCATCTGTTCTTTAGTTCAGGGAGGTGCAGACATTGGGTTTGTATAGTACTTCTCCGTTTATTGTATATTTACATTATTCTTTTTATTGGTATAAATGTTGCTGTTCACAATTTTGGCAGACTTGATGTGAGAGAATGATTTAGCATACACATGTACCAAAAAAGGATTCAATAAGTTATAATTATATATCACACATATACATATTTGTGTAATAATGAACTTTACGAATACTGTAACTATGGATTTATCACATTGTGCTTTGTCAGGACACAAGTTTTCTATTTAATGAGAATGATTTATGAGTTAATTGGTCTACTATTTAATGTAAATTCAAAGAAGAGTTTTATGTTCTACTTACCAGAACACTGATGGCAGAGGACACCAGAATCAACCTGCTGTCATTCACTGGCAGTACTCCGGTAAGGAAAACCTACCTGATGGTTCAGGTCTGATTGTATGGGTATAAGTGTAGTGTTGTAAAGTCTTTGTACTTTGTTCTGCTCACTTGTTGGCTGAGATGTGAGAATGTAAGTGTACTATAGAGTTTTAAAATCTAACTTATTATGTTTCACCTGATGGCAGGGTAGTGAAAAGGTAGATATACCAAGGGTTGTAAAATCGACCTCGTTCTGTTCACACGATGGCTGATATGTGAGGATGCAGTTGTACTGCAAAAGTGTAAAATCTGCCTTGTTTTGTCCACCTGATGGCTCGGGTGTAACTTATTGAATATTGAAAGATATACCTGTTGCATTCCCCTATCCTGCTGTCCTCATTCTCTTGCTTGTGGCTTCATAAACTCAAAACCACTGTGAAGGCTGTATATGTGTAGTGAATCAGTTGTCCTGTATATTATATGTATATTATATGTAGCCAAGATAAACCTAATCTGCTACTGATACAAAAAGATCTGTAAAGGGTCAAATCCAAATAGAGTTGCCTTTCCCAATAACAAGGGGACTACATCAGGCGTACTGAAAACAGTTGGTAGATAGTTTTTGGTGGGGTGATGTGCTATCAATGTTTGTTTTTTTATGTGACATTTTAGAGATATAAAATCTTACTATGTTGATATTTGTGTAAGCATATCACAGTCTTTAGTGTTGAGTGTTGTATTTCAATGAGATAGCATAATATTATCTGTAGCAATGCTAACATTTCAGTAGGCACTGTAGTCTATGATGTGATGGTTCAGTGACATATCACTATGAAATCAGTTACAATACTGACGGGTCTGTTACAGTGACAGAAGTACAGTTAATAAAAACTTTAAAAACATCTACTTTCTTGTTTAAAAGTCAACATATTTCTGTGTTACAGGTTGGCCACAAAGTGTCATTGATGGTGCAGGAAAGATTTGGTAAAACTTTACTCTGATTAAAGATAAATAAATAATACAGCAAATTTATAAACATTGTGGTGATTTTATTAAAATTTCTGATTATCTTTCACTTCATACAGCAAAGCAAAATTGATCCTACATGGACATTTATATATTTCTTCTAAAAATATTTGGACGAAAACATTGCGTTATTTCATGATAAATTGGTCAAATAAGTCTAAATTTCTATCATGACGGTTGAGTTAATGAAGTTTTGAGAAACTGCTCTAAAATGTTGATATAAAACAATAGGCCTTATATCTTGAAGCGAATAAAATGTCTGTTTCTTTTTTACAGGAAAGTTTTTGTTGGAGCTTGGAGGCAATAACGCATTAATAGGCAAGTAGCAATTGTACATTACATTTTTGAAACCCATATAGAAATTTAATTCGTAAATACAAATTTATCATTTCCGTTTTTTGGTTATGAATGTACATGTATAAGATATTTGTTGTTAAAAAAAATCTATTTGTTTCATCTACATGTATCAATTTTGGTAATGGTTGAATACTGTCCATAAAAGAGCAACTTGGCAGTTTTTGTCATGCTCTTGAAAAACATGTTAAAAGCTGTGAAATCTAATCCCTTCCACATGTCATAAAGATTCTTTAAAGACTTTATACATGTGTGATGATTTGTTCCAGTTTATAAGAAAGACATTTAAACTTGTTCTTTCATATGCGCTGATCCCTGAAAAAATACTTCAGGGGAAAAATTGTTGTTGAAAAGTATCCTGATGAAGCCTTAGAGGCGAAACTAGTTGGCCAGATAAATTAAGTATGAAGTTATCGGTGACTCCTGAGCATGTTGTGGTTGATTCTTCCCTTTTCATATGTACTTGTTACACTTGATTACAGTGAATGAGGATGCTGACATAGAAATGGTTGTACGCTCAGCCTTGTTTGCCTGTGCTGGAACAGCCGGCCAGAGATGTACCACTACACGACGATTAGTAAGTTTTGTATTATATAATCTGGCGTAGAAGACTGACACAGTTGGGCTCAGTGACTATATAACCAGGTGCCCCAGGACCACCAGAGAAAAACTTTTGCTGTAATGTCAAATGAAAAGTTTCATGGTATTTCTTAGGTTTTGTAAATGTTTGTAGTGTATTAAAGTAATTAAGTTAAAATGTCAGAAAAAACTCTCAGTCTTGTTCTTATAAGCACTGCTGTTAACCCTGGAAAAACTCAGGACAAGTTCTTTCCTGGAGAAAGAGAAAGTCCCCCTATGTGTCATTTTGACTGACATCACATAGATATTTTAGATTATGCGTGTCTTTTAGACTGATGTCACATGAGACGTATGATTCTGATTAACATTTTGACTGATAACCTAAATGTACAAGATGTTTTGATTTATTACTCATTTTGATTGGTACCAAACAAGGTGTTCAATATTCTGTTCCTCTTTACGGTAGACCAAGGTGTTCAATATTCTGTTCCTCTTTACAGTAGATGAAGACGTTGGATAAGATGTTTATACGATTTTGTTACTGTTTCAGATGTTACATGAGAAGGTACATGATGAGGTGGTGGGCAGATTGGTAAAAGCTTACGGACAGCTTAGAGTGGGAGACCCACTAGAAGGTAGGCATGTCTGTTACTAGGTGTGAAATCTGGAGGAACAAACAGGACTGGTAATTTAATACTGTTTGTGGTATAATAATGATAAATTGCTCGACTAGAATAGCCTTGAATTGACTTGAGTATGAATTAATAAAAATCTTGAGATTAGTTTACGATACAGAAGTATTTGTCCAGAAAAAATAGTCACTGTGTTACTTTAAAAACGGAAGTTAATTCTGTAAAAAGGAAATCTATTGTGAACAGGGGTAAGATTTGTTTTTTAAGACCAAAGGGTGAAAAATGTTTTTTAAGACCAAAGGGTGAAAAATTAGAACGCATGATATAATGTTTTAAAGTAGAATCAGACTCCAAATGCTAAATGCAACATTTTCTCAATTAGTATCTAATATATTACAACAAAATCTGTATGTGATAGGATTCACAATCTCTATTGATACAACACTATGTTTTGTTAATGACATGTTCAGTTGAAAATATTTTTTTATCAAATTTTTGTATGAATATATGATTATTTTTTCTACAGCTGACACTCTTTATGGACCCATGCACAGCCAACAAGGTGTCGATCAGTACCTAAAGGCTGTGTCCGAGGCCAAGGAACAGGGGGGCACAGTGGCATGTGGTGGAAAGGTATGTACTTTGATGTAAAGTCACTATAAATGAGCCCAAACCCTGAATGAATACATCCCACAACACAGTCAAATTAACTCAAAGTAAAAAATAAAAGTCCCAGGGTCAGCCACTAATAAAACCTTGTAAGTAAGAAATCTCAGTTTCTAATTTTTGACTGTTAAGCTTTTCAGAAGTCGACAACTAGATGTACCTGGTATGTATCAAAATAATAATGGTATGTGTAAGTCAGGGACAATTTTTTGGAAGACCCCCATGACCCCATTAAACAGTTAACAATTAAATTGCCACCAGCTCTTGCAGAGTAAGTTATATTGCAATAGCTCTTGATTGTTTATAAATAAAAACAAATACTTTCAAAATGTCTGTCAGTTAGGCTATATATGTTTTATACTTACAAATTAATATAAAGAATGCTTATTTTAGCATATCCAAATAATATCTTCTACTGCTGTTAATATTTATTTTGTACACTATACCAGGAAGTTTTCGCAGAAGTTTAATTTTCACAATTTTTGTCTGCCATGACAGTGAATTTTACTACACAACATGCAATATATAGTCATTAGATGTGAAGGGCATTTACCAGTGACTCCTGATGGTCTTTATTGTACATGTGTTTGAGTCTATTTTGTACACACCAGGTGATGGATCGCCCCGGTCACTTTGTTGAGCCGACCATAGTGACTGGCCTGCCCCATGATGCTCCCATTGTACATAAAGAAACATTCGCCCCCGTCGTGTATGTCATCAAATTCTCTGTAAGTATTATCTCTTTTCTCCCTTAATATTTAGGTGATCATGACCTTAACCTAGTTAAAATAAATGCTTTTATTTAGTATTATTGCAATAACTTTTAATCCTTTAAAGATATTTTAACAAAACTATATATATATACCAGTATCACCCACAGAAGGTGTGCAGTGCACTGCAGTAAGTTTACCTTGACCTTCACATCTAGGTAAAAGGATAAATATGTGCAAAGCAAGTATGCATATTAAATGGGCAGACATTTTTCTGTTCATGAAAGATCTTCAGTTCAATGTGATTTTTAATTCCATGAAAAAGAAGTTCTATATGTTTTGTCTAACAGAATGGGACTTCTACAGTATCATTACAAATAGATAAAATGTCATGTTATTTCAGAAACTGGAGGAAGCCATGAAATGGAACAATGAAGTAAAACAAGGACTCACCAGCAGTCTCTTCACTAAGGATCTCACCAATATCTTTAAATGGATAGGGTAGGTCTGATCAGGCAAACCTAGTCTCATGTTTATGATAAAAAAAAATCAACATTAGGTCATATCTGACATACCTGTTCTTATACTCCTCATGGCAAATTGAACATTTTAAACCTTATTTCAAATTTAAGAGGAATGTTAATTATAGCACAAAAAGATAAATACTCAAGTGGTTTAAAATTTCTCCTTTGTTTACCAGTACTGATGGCATCTACCAAATATATTATAGTTATTGCGTTCAACTGTACTTCCATAACGGATATTGCAGTGTCTTGAATGCCACACTAGGGTACTGATGAGAAACGAGATTCTGTATTCGGTGTCTTCCATTGGCTTTGAAATGAATATCTTATGCAAATTTTACAATCCAAACACTTTTTTTTCTGTAAGCAAAAAACCTCATGAAAGAATTAAAAACATTATTATGTTTCGTGCAAAGTTACCCTTAAACAGTAGTTAAGTGTATTTATTAGTCAACTAATGACTTTTTTTTACAGACCAAAGGGATCTGACTGTGGTATTGTGAATGTAAACATTCCTACTAGCGGTGCTGAAATTGGGGGAGCTTTTGGTAAGTCAATGTCTAATATAGCAACTGACTTAAAAGGTTAACAGATAAAATCTATGTGTTACCATCACCCAAAGCACTTTTTACACCTTAACTGACCACGATATGAGTTGAGGTGACGTTGGTTTAAAAGTAAGGTTTAACATGCATTAACTATTAAGAAGTTGGCCATATTTCACAAAACAGAAAAAAGAATATAATCAATAGTGATTTTGAGTGTCAAAGGCCTTTTGGTATCTTGGAGTTGATGATATTCGTTGTTGGATCGTGTGTTGTAGGAGGTGAGAAGCATACAGGAGGTGGACGAGAGTCTGGTAGTGACGCCTGGAAACAGTACATGAGGAGATCCACTTGGTATGTACACTACAACATGTGAACTAGTTTTGTATTTTGTATAATAAGATATCTTGATTATACTCATAATGATACATTTCTATTGCAGTAATTACATAAAATTCCTCGTGTATTTTGTCTGCAAGATAAGTCCAAATTATGTGTATGTAAAGATTGACATCTAAAGCACTCATTCGTAAAAGAGTTCATCTACAATGTAACATTTATTATGCCCTTAGAAAAACTTCTTCAGAGGACAGGTTTCTACTTGTAAATATGTACGCCCTTTGTAACAGCTCTAGTGTCATTTCACCAGACTTTTATGAAATTTGTTTTGGGTACGACACCTTGACCAAGTTTGCTACAGGGTGCTGTAGTCAAGGTGATAGTAGCAAATTTTAGAAAATCTCTGCCATCGTTCTAATGAATTTATTTAGCAATGGATATCAATTAAAATTCATACAAGTGTTAGTTATGGTAAGTACCTTGAACAATATATTTCTTCGGGTTAAGGTCATCGTTACTTTTTTGGAAAATCTTTATCTTTGCAATAACGTCTGTGTACGTACATTACAGTATTCATGTTTACTGCAATGCCCTATTTTTATACAAAACTCTAAAGTATTCAGTGTGAACAGTAGTGTTTCTGAATATAGTCAAAGCAATATGGTGTTTGCTCTTTCTTGGAAGAGTTTATCAAAATATTTACATTCTGTTTGAAGCAAAAATGTCAGAAGTTTTTCAAGAAAACCAGTAAGTTGCTCTTTCTTAAAAGTGTTAATACTACAAATGCATTCCAGATTGCTGCTTATGTTACTAACAAGGTATGTTTTACTTTTAACAGCACAATCAACTGTGGCAAAGAGTTACCATTAGCCCAGGGAATCAAGTTTGAATAGACCTAAAAGGACAGCAGTATTCAAGAACTCACCACATGTACATTTACTAGTCTAAGTACCACCAGAAGACCGGTGTAAACACATATATAGTCCCCAAAGGATTGACTGGTAATAGTGTAATGGTGATCAGTATAAACGGTTACAATCATTAGAATCACATTCTAAACAGATCAAACAGGTGTTTTGGTGTTAAATGCAAATACAATTTTAAAAAAGACTGTAATTTCCTGTCAATCTGATTATATGTACATACTTGGAGAAAAATACTCAGTACATCATGTATAAATTGTCATAATTAGTATTGTATATGGTTGATTGTATCAACCTTAAAAATCTTGTGTGAATTTTGGATTTGATATATATTTCATATATTTAAGAATATATCACTGAATTTAGAAAAGAGAGGTAGCAAAAGATAAGTCTTGATTCATGACGGATATTTTAGAGATTTTGTGCCTATTTTCATGCAAGTTCATGAACATCTCACTTTCTTTGCATAATGTGAAAAAAATCATTTATAAAAAACTTTTCATTGTCAAAGTATGATGCTATCATAGTAATTTTTGTTAAAAACTTATACTGTTGGAAAGTCATGAAAATTATCAAAGCGAAGAGAAAAAATGTGCTGTTCTGCTGGAACGTAATACATGTACTATGTTGGTGCCAATCTAACAAATTATACATTAAGTACTTTGTCGGTTTAAAAAGTGGTCAGCAAATATTAAATATGACACCAATACTTTCACCCTAAAGTTTTGTTTCTGAATTAGACACAAAAAAACCAATTTGTTCTTTTGAAATATGAGTAATTTCTATTCATTTTTAAACAGAATCAATGTCAAATTAATTTTAAAAAGCATTTTTCCTTATCGTCCCCTTTTTCCCCAATTAGTATTTGTTTTGCAATTAAAGGTTGATTGATTGTACAATAGATATACACTATGTACTGGTACATTTTTGTTAATCATCGAGATCTTGTTTCCTTAACTGGTTAATTATATAAGGTTGCTTTAATAATATGTATTTCAATTGAATCTCATGATGTCATGCTGTCTTTGTAATACCTTTCTTTTCACTGTCCTGACTTTCGCTAAGTATTGAAGAGTTTCATGAAATGTTATAATCAAGACACTGTCCATTCATAAAGGTATTTTTCCAAAGAATCTTATTAATCTGTGTTTTTGTTCGTGCAAGTGCTAAAGCGTTAAGGCTGCAATACTGTGTGATACTTACATGTGATAAATAAGATTGATTCTTATTAAAATGTAGCATATATTTCATCAGTCTTGTTGTTTTGTAATTAGAACCATCTGGAGATTTCATCTAGTGTACCTTAATACAGATCGATTCTTCAAGCAGGCTGAGAATGTTCTCACATTTGGTTAAAGCTCTGTTTTCTTTATCTTTAGAAGACGGCACAAAATCTAGAATTGTTTTTATAAATAGTTCTTAAATGTGCGTACCCAGAAGCCAAATCACAGTGTGACCATTACAAAACTTATTCTCTAAAAGCTGCCTAAGATGTTATGTGTAAGAGAGAGAGAGCCTTCAGCTCAATAATTAGCATTTCTTGTCTCTCCCTTATTTTATACTTGGTACACACCCCCGGTAGTATGTTTTGTTTGGAAGAGAATGTCGCAGGTTTCTGTAGTCAACCATTTGCAATAAACTGTAAAATCCAAATTAACAATAATGAAGTACAACTTGACTGAAAGTATTAAAGTTGTATAAAGGCAACACTTTTAACTTGTTTTGTAAGGCAGATGTCAACATGTTAACTTGTGACATAAAGAATAAGTTTATAATACTTTTGGTGTCTGCTGGTCCCTAAGCTGTCATATCTCTTGGATTGAGTCCTGTACATTGTAAACAATAAATGCACCTTGTGGTCTGGTGGTCCCTAAGCAGTCATATCTCTTGGATTGAGTCCTGTACACTGTAAACAATAAATGCACCTTGTGGTAACTTGTGTTACTTCATAGCTTCTCACACTGCTATGTACAACATTGTTCTTTTTAATTCAGGTTGTCGTTTAACAAGCACTTTGGAAATTGTGACAACGAACTGGAACTGTCTTAATTTAAGATGGCTGTCTGGTGGCCATCCTATTTTTACCGATCAGTCCTAAAGATCAATATGCATAAGTAGGGATCCTAGTGCAACCTACATGTGAAATTGGAAAAAAAATCTGCAGGACCTTCAGAGAAGGAGCACTAATCAACCTTTAACTATCAAAATTCAAGGTAGCTGCCTGTTGACTGTCTCCGTTTTCTGATCAAAACCGAAAGTTTAATGTGAGTAACTAAGGGACCATGTGAAATCTGAGAAAGATCCCTCCAGTACTTATTGAGAAATAGTGCTAACAATCTTAACCCTCAAAAGACAAGATGGCTGTCTGGTGGCGATCCTATTTTTCTGATCAGTATGCTCCTACCGGTAGTTTACAAAGGAAAGCCAAATAGGGATCCTAGGAGGATCTTGGCACTACCTCATACACTTTTTATACCATTATTCATCATATGTAAGTAATATCCATGCATGTCCGTGGTACACATAACCCTACTTTTTGCACCATATAAAAAATACATAATCTACATATTAAACCAGTAAAGATGTAAAGATAGTGGTATTTGAGAGGATATCTACACAATTTGGTAGTTTTGTACACCTCTTGAAAATTAGGACATGAAAGTTCTGGTATGTTTACAGAGCACATGCTACAGAATGAACAAACAACAAGAGACACGGTGGTCTAATTAGGAGTGCATATGATGCCTGGAATTTATTTTGAATTTTAAATCTGTCAAATAATTATATGTATATCATAAGTTTACAAAATATATTAGCACGGAACATGTAAAAAGGACCAAGTCCCCCTGGGGCTGGCAAGAGCCAATTCAAAGAGCAGACATACTGAGAACAGGGAGGAAGTGAGGATTACCATATCAAGACTCGGGGAGAATGTCCCTAGGTGCAGGGCAAGACCCCAGTTCAATCCAGATTACCCCTGTGTATTTGTCTCTTAAAACCCAGCAATTGCTGTTATTAGGTGGTGATCTCAACCATCCAGTGACAGTACCCAGGGTGGGTCTGGACCCTGGATCCAATCCTGATAGAATGATTGTGTTAATTTCTTCATGCATAACAATTTTATTCGTGGTTATGTGGTTGGGAACTGGTTTTATGTTATGACTTTGGAATGAAGTGGCAGGGCAGGCCCCTAATGTCAATCGTAGTAGCTTGGATGTATTCATCTCTTCATGCCTACTACATGTGTATGCAGTTCTATTGTGGGGGACCTTGATCATTTAAAGCAGTACAGCTTTGCACTAAAAATTCCACTATTGGGGCCCCTACATGCAAGCTCCAAGGATCACACTAGTTTCATGAATACAAAATGAAATCACTTTGCCTCTTTATGGTAACAATGGTGCTTTTACTCTTTGGAGGAACAGGCTTTTGAAAAAAAATGAACTGTCTAATTTTGCCCCAGTTCAGGTGCTTCCCTTCACCGCACAGGGAGATAACCGTCTTCATTAATAAAACATCTAATTTCGTTGTCATATTGATTTTAAACTTGGGTATATTCCATAGAGCTGTTCAAGAGAATAGTCTTTTGAACAATGAACTCCACCAACTTCTCCATATTTGGGCCAGCCCTTTAGTGCCCAAGAGGACCACAATCTATTTTATAAGTATTATTCTCTGATCCTATGGATGCAACATAACTAATTTGGTTGACATCTGATCTGCCAGTCAGGAGGAGAAAAAATAATAAAGGAAAAGTTTGATGGACAACGACGGACGCTTTGCCCTGGAAAAATGCTCACAAGTCCTTTGGATCAGATGAGCAAAAAAAATACAAAACTTTTCATTAACATCAAATTAGCACTTGCATTTTGCAGCCTTAATAATTCATGACCCATTCATCTCTACCCACAATTTACTTTTCAAACCCACAATCAATCAACACCCTGACACTCTCCCTTACATTCTGACACAGACTTAACATTCTGACACACACTTAACATTCTGACACACTTAACATCCTGACATCCGCAATAACATTCTTACACAACACACAAAACTTAAGATACAGTACCTTAACTTTCAATAGTTTCTTCTAAATTCTCAATTAACAACACACCAGAATGTATCCTCCAAGCCAAGAATGACAAGAGTCTCTCTCAATTCTTGCACTCTCATATACCATCTCCTTATAGTGACCACGACGGCCATTAATTGATATTTAAATACGATGATCACTCTTTGATAACTTTAGAGTGAAATTACTCTCAAACCGAGTTGATTTCCAGGGAAATATTAGTGTACACCAGAAATTCTCTGGAAAATGAACACTATCATTCTCATTATAAACCTATCTGGAATAAGCAATAACTTAAATACACACATTCCTATGTTCTATTCCTCTGGTCCATTATAAAGGAGTTATTTTGGTATACACAATCCTCTCGTCCATTATAAAGGAGTTACTTTGGTATACACAATCCTGTGGTCCATTATAAAGGAGTTATTTTGATATACCCAATCCTCTGGTCCATTATAAAGGAGTTATTTTGGTATACACAATCCTCTCGTCCATTATAAAGGAGTTACTTTGGTATACACAATCCTCTGGTCCATTATAAAGGAGTAACTCTGGAATACACAACCTCTGGTTGTTCAAGAGAAATTAATACCACTAGTAATGTTAATTAATTGAAGAAGTACACACTCTCATGTCTCTTCCTGCTGGTCTATAAATTCTGTCAAAGTTACAGAATCAATTGGAATCATTAGATGCTCAATGCCATCAAAACTCTGAAAAAAGGAGAAAATTCATTCAAATATGGTATATTATGCGATTGGGAGTTTCTCTTTATAAAATCTATATTATTTTCATGAAATACTGTTATTAAGGTAAAGAGTACCACCCCATCAGTCATAATTGCTACATCGCTAATTTCCACTCAGATCCGTTATTTAAGTGTTCTTGTTCAATAATCTACCTTATATATAGAAAATGAAGCACAAAAAAAGAAGACTTTCTAGCTTAGAGTTAATTCCCTTGTCAAGGTTTTAGTTAAAAAAAAGTCTTAAGACCTTGTGGCCAATATAAGCTTGGCTTTCATGTTGATAAAGTGCATTTACAATTCCTGTACAGCAATACTGATAAAGTGTGGGACTGGCAGACGTGTAATGGTCCTAAATTTAATCGAACAGTTTATGACAATGGTATCAATATATTTTAACTTCATGGTACTTTCTGCCTTATAGCTAAAATGTAAATGTACAATGATAGCCAGTCTTCATATGACCCCGAATGTTGGAAGAATGCTACACCAAACAAACTAACACAATTTAATGATGAGGCTGAAATTATCATGAAAAGTAATACTAGTGCACAGTATCTCCAGTAAGATTTGTTAGTTTAGAAATACAATGTATGTAATATCTAAGCTTTACTTTATAGGCAAACAATGTTTGGTCTCTTTGTCAAGCTATGACTCATATGAGTCATGTTTGTGTCTAAAGTAAAACTTTTATAATACTAGTGCACAGCTTACAATACAAGATGTATTATCTCCACCTGGAAATATGAAATTAACACTGGACAATTAAAGGCAAGAACTTTGCTGGAACGATGTTCCCAAGTATGCAGTAAGTTTTTATAATTATCGTAAAGAACAGCGGTCCTGAGTGTTTCTGTATGCTTTTGTTCTCTGTGGTATATTTATCATGCAGTTGTATAAAACTTGCCTTTTTAGATTTAATAAGTTTATGGTCCCTAAACTCGATTAGTTGAGCCTGCAGGGTGAGATCACTATTAACAAGGAAGGCCTCTCGACACTGCTGGTACAGCTCCTGTATAGACAAACCTGTTGGAGAGGAAAGGTAGAATTTACTATTAAAAGGAACAACAAGTAATGACAAAACGGTCAAGATCATAATAAAAATATCTGGGATAATAACATTTTTACTTAATGTTTCTGAAAATTATTTTTTGAGGTGTTCAGTATTGATTGTAGGGCAATATGAATGTTACTTTCTAGGAATAAACATTTCAATAGTATAGCTAAATATGCTGGGAACAGAGAGCCTTGCTGCAGCTATATGTATATTGAAAAAAACATATGATGTTATGAGTTATTTCCCTTTGACCATTTCACAGGAAGGCAGTGTATAAGGCAAGTGACAAATCACAATCAAGAAAGATTTCAGACAGATGACAAGTCTTTTTATCAATATATAGTATGTACTCACCAAGATATGTACTGTTGTCTTTGTGAGAGAGTTGATGTTTAGCCAGGAGGAAGAAGATACTTTTGGCATTGGATGTGAGCGACTTCATAACATGGGTCATAGAGCTGAGAGCAAGAGCTCCAGATTGTTGTACGAGGAGCGAGTTCTCATAGGACGTCTCGTCAGTGTAAGGCATGAATGTCGTCACATCGTACCAGAGCCAGTTATAACGACAGCACTTACTCTGATCCCACACTGATAACACACCAAAACTTGAGTCAACTTTCTATGTTAATTATTTAACGCAATGAAAAAGGCATGTAACTGAAAATGTAGGAGATACCTATGGCTTCTTAATCGGTATGAATATCACATTTTATTTTGAAGTTAAATTACTGTTCATGGTTAACATAAACAGACAGTACGTAATATGAGCATATTGTACTCATATACAACGATACATACTGTTACCTGATGCAAACTTTTAAATTATGCATTGTGCAATATTGTCAAGGGTTATTCTCTTGATGATAAATGACAATACTCCCAACTCATTATTGGGATTATTCTTTACATAAAAACATTAAGAAGAATGTTATTCTGTACACAGAACTACCCAGTCATTAAAGAAATGCAACATAGTTACTGACACATAGGTGCTGAATATAGTAAATTGACAATTAATTTGAATGAATGTTAATCAAAAATAAACTTTCAAATATGAATTACTCAGGAATATTCCAACTAAATCTCACTGTCCGACATGTCCACTACTATTACAAAAAACGAAGACTTGCTATTGTGCCATTTAATTTTCATTTTAACAATGGCCTGGCTGGAGTGGCAATTATCAGAACATATTAGAAGACCACAGGAATTTATACTTACACAACGGAGCATTAATATGATCTATGGAAGCTAGAATATGAAAACCAGGAATCTGGCTTAAGAGACTTAAGATGTTCTGAGCTTTTTCTCCTCGTAACATTGTACCATCGATGTTGTGGACTATGAGGAAAAAATCTTGAAGACCTGAAAATGGAAGGGGAAGGATAAGATACAAAGCTCTACTACAGCAAGTATCTTAGAAATATTTTTCCAACACACAAAAGTTATCATATAAGAGAAGCTCCATTGTATTAAATGCCAATTATTTTTTCAAACTTGCTAGAAATAAGACACCCTTGAATGCTCACTACACTTTTAATTTTCATGGCTCACTGATTGAATTTTATTTTTGTAACCATGCTTCCATAGTCGTTACTTTTTCACACTATAATGGCCATTACAAACATAAGTAAAATGCAAGCTTGCCTTGTTGTTCCATTTCTGTTCGTATACATCTCACTTGATCTAATGGTCCCTTAAAGCTGCCGTTGTAATCCAGGATCTCGTAGGTTATGGCATTCAAAATCTACAAAAGCCCGTTAAATGAAACGTTCATTAGTAGTGTACAGGTGTAAAGCTCTCTGGGGAGATTCTTGTTTACAGATTTATAGTGCAGTATCTTGTTTTCCTTTACATGTTATATAGGGTAGTTATTCCGTCTTTGCATATTGCAGAGTTATTTTCTCTTGTGAGCAGGTATTGATTGTTATGTCATTGGTTTGTGTCAGAAAATTACGTCGTTTTCTCAAAAATTGATGACGTTACTCTCACAAACAAATGACGTAACAATCAATACCTGCTCACAAGAGCAGATATATATATAACTCTGCAATACGAAAAGACACAATACAGGGAAAAGAATGTTATAAATAGCATAACTTGAAAATTGTCCTTGATATATGCATATAAAAGTATATAAATAAATTAATACTTAACAGTAAACTTTTTTAATTTGAGGTGAACTAAATGAAAGCAATTGTATGAATTCAAATGTACAGGATAACATTTATAGATAGAAATGTTTAGTCAAATCCCAAGTTATCAAAAAGGATCCTGATTGTATCTCATCACTAAGGAAAACCTACATGTTTTATAGTGAGGCTTGGAAAGTAACCATTGACAACCAGGTGAGACAGCTCCAATAGATGAGTTTTACGGAAATCTTCTAGGAGTGTTCGCTTTGATCCTAGGCCATACAGTAACATGTTGAAACCTTGACTGAAGCAAGTGACAGAAATAAGTTGGAACATGGTTAATAAGCATTGTAAATCATTTATCAAACATAATGGAAGGCAGTTAAAGGTAATGAGATAAACTATATTTTGTCTAATAATATATTATCTATTATCAATTTTATTTATTTTACAACAACTATAAAACAAGTGTTATTAACTTATATTCCCCCCCCCCCTTATCTTATTGCCTGTAAGGGTGTATGAAGGGAGTCTAAAGTTATGTTTAAGGTAACGAAAGTATCCTGAAACTATAATTATGTCAGTGTGACATTAAAGCTGCTCACTACTTTACATTTAATTTGCTTTAGTAACACGTTGAGCATCAATATCTACTATAATACCTCAGATATGTGTTCTGTATTCTGCTAATTGAAAATCAGGTCATGTGATGATGTTGCCTTTGGGATTTCAAAATCAATCACCTCTTAAATAATGCCCTAAAAACATTCCTCACTCTCCTCTTTTTTCACCCTCTTTTAGTGTGATGCATTGTTGTAATTTTCATTAATTAGCATCCTCCAATGATGTGACATGAGCATTTACGTGCAGAATGGCAATCAGTGAATGGATACTAAAGAATAGGTGCATTTTGTGCTTGTGAAATGAAGGATAATTAACAGTAGTGGGAAAACATGCATGGAGAAAAGAGACATTGTAGTCCTTTTATTTTTATTCATTTTTATTCATATTAATAATAACTATTAATATATGTAGTGACTTTATTTACTGTCATTGAGTATACAAAATCTCACAAAATCTCACAATGTTAATGGAATATATTTGACATGTGCTTTCTCGAATCATGTAATTCACACGTGTAACACTCCTCATACCGAGTTGCTAAAACGCTCAAACCTAGTGCACGAATTTCACCACCACAACACTCGTAGAATGCACCGGAGATAAATATTTTGTTTTCAGCAATTATTTAAAGTATGGATTATTATTTGAAGAAGAGTATCAAAGACTTTATGCAACCCACAGGTGAGTGTCAGAGATTCTACTTTCTATTTACGATAACGAAACTATATAGCGGAAGCATGTAAGACTGAATTATGCGCACGCACCCCAAACGGAAGTGGTTCCGTCATTTCGTTCTCTGGACAGAATTAATAAGTCACTTGGCTCTTGCCAAGAGCGGCTTAAAAACGCACATGTGGTTTGGAAGTTGACCTCATACTTATTCATGTCCCATCAGGGGATCAAACCCAGGACATTTTTATATAAGCATGTACTATCCATTACAACAATCGGCTAATCATTAGAACTTTCATCAACTAGACTGAACAGTGGTTTACAGTAATACTTATTCTGTCTAGATCAAATATTTCATCCAAGATGCATTTGGTTTAGACAGGTTTCACTGTATTAATATTTATTTTCACTGCTGAAATATATATATGCGATATTACCATAGCTGTTCATATGACGTAAAACACAAACAAAGCAAACACTTCCACATAAATACATAAATACATATATATATATATATATATATATAGATAATCGCCTGAAGAGCCCCAAGATGGGCGAAAGTGCTAGCCGATTATACTAGTCTTCATGTTTTGTTTTATTTATATTTTTACCGTCACATGGACATTTAAAACTATTTATCGCTATATATAAGATATATGAGATATTACCATAGCTGGAACATCCAGGTATTGAAGTTCTCCCTGTGTTCCTGGTACATCTTTTCACTCTCACAGTTATCGTCTGTGGGTACCTGTTGTAGGACCCTGTTCAGTCCCTCTCTGTCCATCTTAGCCGAGCCGAGCCGAGCCAGCGTCCGGTCTGATGTGAGGACAGCAGAACTTGAATGTATGTCAAAGTAGGACTCCACCATAGAGGGCTAAGGAATGAGAACGACAGGTGAGAAACGGCTTTTTAACATGTGAGAACATGTGAAGTACTCCAATGCGAAAGTAACAGTGAGAAAATATGAATCAGAAAATATGCTAGCAGCAGCATGAAATTAAAAGGCATATTGACATGCAATGCACATATGCAAAAGCAATTGTACCGTTTTTAGGGGATAATTCTACTGTATTTTGAATTTTGCGGCGGTATATTGTGATTATACAAATTGAGTTTTAGTCGCTAATAAAACGGATATTTGCTACAGTATAATCCCGATATACCGCCACAAATTTGAAAATACAGTCAGTAGGGTTATCCCCATTCTAATTCATTTCAACTAAAACCATCAAAAGAAAGGACTAATTTAAGATATTTGTGAGAGTTTTCTTCAAATTCTGTCTCTCTGCAGTGGGTTGGTGACGTCAGAAACATTCAAAGTGAGGCGGAAATATGTTGACCTTTCAGGGTCACGCTATTGTTCGTGACGTCATGAATAATCAATTTCATGATGTGTAAGGGTCAGTTGGGTTCATCAACGTCATTAACAACCTCCATCAGGGCTTCATATACAAATGAGAAATTTGCGGAAAGTATAACGTGGTTTTACCGTTGCAAATTACTTTGATTGACCAATCAAATGCCTTGTTACATCTCAAATGAATTAGAATGTTATTTAGTCAAATCAAAGGATGCATGTGCCACCTGAAGCACAATGGCATGGGCCTATCCCTCTTGGGAGTGTTTCCTACAGACTCAGGGCTGACCCCTCTTTGGGATGTTTCCTATAGACTCAGGGCTGACCCCTCTTTGGGATGTTTCCTATAGACTCGAGGCTGACCCCTCTTTGGGATGTTTCCTATAGACTCAGAGCTGACCCCTCTTTGGGATGTTTCCTATAGACTCAGGGCTGACCCCTCTTTGGGATGTTTCCTATATCTCCATACTGAGGACTCACCATCTCCTCCTCCACACGACCCCGGGGCCGACCACTCTTGGGAGTGTTTCCTATAGACTTTACATTGAGTGGTGGACGCTTAGCAGGAGTGTCGTTTGTTTCAGCATCATCTTCACTGTCATCATCAGAGGACGACACACTGGAATCCGAATCAATGTCATCATCTACAAATAAACAGGAAGAAATTTTAAGTGTTATTCCATACTATCCCTAGAATGACTACATCATTTTTCATCATGCATACATAGTGTATTACAGTGAAATCATGTTTCAGTACAACCTGCATTTCTAACCACTTATGAAACAATGGTTTACATCTAGCTTTTGAGACCTTTAGTCAATCAACGACAACAAACCGAAATAATTCTGGCCTCAGTTAAGTTAAGCCAACAGACCACACACTTTTAACAGACCATTACAGACAAATGTATTAAGGAGCCTTAGACTTACCATCTCACTTCAAACAAGCAGTGTCAAAGTCTAAAACACTATAAATCCCAAATGAAAAAAAAAGTAAAATACAACATTAAAAAGGAAATATATTACAATGGGTAATTTTGGCCTGAGCTAAATATAATCATAACCATGACAGGTTCTATTCAGCTACTTCAGCGGTTAGTTCAAACATTAGTCAGATAAAAAATGAAAAGACTTACCTGTGATGTTGCGTTTACGTAGTTTGTATGGTGTGGTAGTCTCAGGTTTCCTCTGTAATTTGCTAGAGCGGCTGGTAGATGATGGAGTCAGGGAACCTTGAAAACAAATGTGTGAAAGGATTAGATATTTTTGTACATTTATTGGATAACATTATTCTCTCTCTCTCTCTCGTACACCAAACTTTTTTCAGCATTAGTGTCAGGTTTCTACAGGCTGTTATTGTCCTCATTAAACCATTCATGTCGGGTATACTTGGAGTAACCATTGTAGAGTTGCTTTTAATTTTTCTCCTTTAACCTAACATAAATGTCACCATGATTTTGGACATCAGACTTGCATTGTGATGTCATGTTTCAAGGATAAATTCATCATGATTGGAGATATCAAATCATACCTTCTGCAAGAGGAAGTAAATCTGTTCTTTCTTTTTTTACGAGTATGAAATGACCCAGATATCCAAGTATATATATATATACCTGCATTTTTTGCAAATAAAGTTTTACTGTATTTTAAAGATTTATCAAATTGAAACAGTATTAATTATCGGGATGACACTTACCTTGTGAAACTGTAGCCTTCAGTATAGATTTTGGAGTACGAGCTTCAGAGGCTGCAAATACAAATTAATGTACTGACATTTGGAAATTGCACTTGACAAGAGAAATTGATTTTCTGTTTTAAAATTATAATTTTTTACCTGATATAATTGTCTGGTTGGTGACCACTTTTTCACATAGTTTCCATTGCATTCCTATATACTTTGATAAAATCTGATAAATTTGGACCAGGACAATATTTTGCATTAGGTTTTATAAAATCTGATCAGTGGTCTGAAAGGACAATATAACAGCTGACTCATAACAACCTTGATAAATCAGCACCTGATTGTACCTCTGTAACAAGAATAAGGAATTGTATGTATCTGTCAATATAAAGGTGACATTGTACACCTACACTGTATTGTGTACCCCATGACAGTACAAAACTTCGGACAGTGTATAAATAAAACTAGAACACTGACAGGTCAGTAAGGGCAATATATCCCCCATAATCATCAAGAAGCAATCTGCCCATATAGCTGAGCTTGACGTTTGACATTTGGACTTCAAAAAGACTTGTTTCCTTCCACCTCCATATTTGCTGGGCTAACAGAAATGTAAATACCGGTGCAATACTCATTTGTTAGCTTTGATTTGCTTTATTTCACCTTCTATACCTCCTCCTCCATCAAGAGCCAGGGTCAAAGTCAGAGATCCACTTTGTCTTTGACCTTTAGACCCAAATGACATTGACCATTAACCAATTATTCTTTAATTCAGACCAACTTTACTTCTTAATATCATAACAAAATGTTCATCAGTGAAAAATACAAAACTTAACCTTGACCTTTTGGACCTCGTGACCTGGACCTAAGGTCAGTTGACTCTGTGTTAAGTTCTGAACAACATTGCTTCATAACGTCATAACAAAATGTTCATCAGGGAAAAGGTACAAAATTTAACCTTCACCTTTGACCCAGTGACCTTGACCTTTGGTCAATTGACTCCTCGCTTAATTCTGAGCAACATTGCTTCAAAGTCTCATAGTGAAATGTTCACAAGTGAAAAGATACAAAATTTAACCTTGACCTTTGACCAAATGACCTTGACCTTTTGTCAGTCAACTCCTTGTTTAATTCTGATCAACTTTGCTTCATCATGTCATAAAATGTTCATCAGTAAAAAGATGCAAAATTTGACCTTGACCTTTGAATCTAATGACCTTGACATTTGACCTCGACTTTTTACCTCAGTGTGTCTTTTTGTTTAATTCCGAACAACTTTGCTTCATAATGTCATAGCGAAATGTTCACCAGTGAAAAGCTACAAAATTTGACCTTGACCCCTGACCCGATGACCTTGACCTTAGGTCAGTTGACTCCTTGTTTAATTTTGATCAACTTTGCTTCATAATGTCATAACAAAATGTTCATCAGTGAAAAGATGTAAAATTTGACCTTGACCTTTGAACCCAATGCCATTGACCTTTGACCTTTTGTGAACTGAACATCGTGACCAAGTTTCATGTACATCGGTCAATAGATATTTAAGTTATCAGCCAGGAACAAAATTTGTGGACAGACAGACAGTGATTACTATAGGGCACCCGTATCTCCGATACGAGGCCCTAATAAATATACAACATTTGATATAGCGCCCTATCTAGCTAACATTAGCCACTCTAAAGCGCTTTACAGTACATAGATATACAATTTTATACAGTCAATATAATTAGCATATATCAATATAATATTGAGGAATTTGCAGGAGATGCCTTATCAGGTGCTAACTACTGGTCCTATACTACCTGGCTAATATCTCCCTGTGTGTGTGCTGGAGATGTATTGTGTTCTGTTTGAAGTGGGACCGTGCTTTCGACGGTATCATTTATAGTGCCACCTCACTTAAGATTGAATGCTACACCACAGATACCGCAACACCCACCCCAGACCATTTTATACTCCACCTGGATTGTTGGAGTTGTGTGGGCAGGAGAAAAACACTTTCTCTAATATTCCATGCGTACGGCAACTTCAGGGATGGAACCCCGGCCGCCTGCTTGGAAGGCCGGAGTGTTAACCATTCGACCAATCAGCCCATATACATGAATGTGCCATCAGCTTACATCTATTCTTTATAGCAATTAATGTACATAACCTTGGCATCAATATCAAGTGTAGCACATACCCCTGACAGCCATCAAGTGTAGCACATACCCCTGACAGCCATCAAGTGTAGCACATACCCCTGACAGCCATCAAGTGTAGCACATACCCCTGAGAGCCATCAAGTGTAGCACATACCCCTGACATCTATCAAGTGTGGCACATACCCCTGACAGCCATCAAGTGTAGCACATACCCCTGACAGCCATCAAGTGTCGCACATACCCCTGACATCTATCAAGTGTGGCACATCCCCCTGACATCCATCAAGTGTGGCACATACCCCCGACAGCCATCAAGTGAAGCACATACCCCTGCCAGCCCTCAAGTGTAGCACATGCCCCTGAGAGCCATCCAGTGTAGCACATACCCCTGACAGCCATCAAGTGTAGCACATACCCCATCAAGAATTGTTTGCATCTTAGGTAGCCATCTGAGTTTGTTAACCTTTGACAGCCATTCTAATTTGTACGAACAATTTGCAACCAGTTACAATTTCAACATGCCTTAGGCAGTCATCTTAATTGGTACATACCTTTGGCAGCCATCTTGATTTGTAAAATCCTTTAGCTTGGCACCCATTTAACAATGAACATACCTTTGGCAGCCATCTTGATTTGTAAAATCCTTTAGCTTGGTACCCATTTCACAATGAACATACCTTTGGCAGCCATCTGGCCTGACTTTTTAGGTGTACGGAACTGGAACATTCCACTTCCTGCTGTGGACTCCTCACCTTCCAATAATACTGCGACAGAACATTTTTGTAGAGGAATAAGACTCTAATTAATATACATTTAACAAGTTAATGTCGGTGGACGAGGAGCAAAGGACCAAATTATTCCACCATTAAGAAAACCACAGCGTTGGCTCTACCCTTGCCTTCATTAAACAAGTTAATGCAAATCTAGTTCATGGTTATGATCAACAACACTTTAATGTATAAAATTGGTACATTGTTTTATAGTTCATCTATGGTTCAAAGTTCTGATAAAAAAATCATAAATTTGTATAGCCTTAACCATGATAAACAAGAAATAACCTATCTGTAAAAATGTATGGACAGATATTCAAAGTTTCTGTAAATATATGCCAATGACAAAATTGGACTCTTTAGCATGACCCTACCATTTTTTCCCTTCATGGTCCTGACAATAAACATATTTACGATGAATTCTCTTGACCCTCTTAAATAGGAACAAGAGGCCACGTAGGCCTGTATCACTAACATGTTGTTCATTTCACATATTGATCTTCACAGTGGATCAATGAATTTTTTAAAATAGGCTAAATTTATATCATTACTCTGATTATATAGGTCTTTGTTGGAAGGTTCCATATTGCTCATCACTTTGGTATATTTTACTATTGGACCTTAAAAAGTGTCAAGGTCATTTATTTGCTTCATCCAAGTTTGCTACTGGCCAAATACATGTAGCATGATCATAGGCCTCTTGGTTATTCATAAGAATGTTATGAAAAATTTAAATATATTTGACCCCTGCGACTTTGAACATAGTCTAAAAGTCATTCATTTGAAACGTTTTGCTGCACTTCATTTCAGTATGCTATAATTACATAGCTTCTGGTCAAATATCAACCTAGGCCTACGGTTATTCAAAAGTTGTCTATCAATTTAACCCCTGCAATTTTGAAAGAGGATGATTAGGTCATTTAATTGAACGATCCTGATAGCCTTTTATCCCAAGAATCTATTGGCCTAATATTGTTACCTAAGACCAGTTGGTTGTTCAGAAGTTGTTAAAAGGCTTCAAACAACTATGATCCCTATGACCTTGAAAGTCGGTAAAGGTGATTTATTTGTACAAACTTGATAGCTCTTATTCTCAGCAATCCGGTTGCTCAAACATAATCACCCAAGGTTTCTTTGTAATTCAGAAATTGCCATTTAAAGTAAAATGATGACAATGAACAAACGAACAATGGATGTCACACCTGACCTTGCAAAAGATCACATTAAGTTAGCCGTCGAATTCTGACCAGGTGAGCTTAGATTTTAAATAAGAAACATAAAGAATTTTAAGAAAACAATTGTGACTTTATAGACATTACTATGTTATACAATGTAACAGAATTGCACTATGATATGTTTATCAGTGTACATGTATGTACACTGCATGTCAAAAGTGGATGGCATCAAAACATTCGGAGACATAAACAGTTATAAAAGATGAATATCATTCAGTACATCAAATTTTTAAGTAAATACAATTATTCAGTGCTACTTAACAAAATGAATTAACTATGATAATATAAACAAAATGCTACTCAACTTAGACAAACTATGATCATTGATGTAAGGCCAAAAAAAGTAACTACTTGTGTTTCTGCCATCATCCACAGTTAAAATATGGTAGGAAGGCAATATTTATTTTATTTCAAAAACTATTTTTATTATGCTTATATAGAGCAGGAGTTTTTTTTTGTACAGTGCATATCATTAAATGCAAATAAATACATTAGGGTAGGCACAAAAATATAGGGCAGGTAGGGTTAGCAGGAACACAAGTTTTGTTTTATTTGGCATATTGTTAAAGTTTATGTCACAATTTTGAGCCCATTCTCTACTTCAATATTGCAAAGTCTATCTCTTCTTTATGTTCAGCTTAAACTGAATAACAGAATTTGGTGTTTTTACTAGAAATCAAACCTACATGATGGAACACCACGAACAACCTCTTCTTCACTCTCTTCTGCAATGTCTCCATTGTCTGTAACGTCTGTGCAATATTTTGGCTGGGAAGGGGTAGAGCCAGTTGACTTGCGCCCTGAAAATCCATCCAAAAAATCTCATGGGTTTTTAATTATTACTTACAAAAATAAATGAATAATCAATCAACAAAAACATTTCATGTATTAGAAAAGAAAACATTATAGACAAAACTAAGAGTACCCTCCACACAAAGCTATTTACATGTACATGTGTGATCAATGGCTAAGTAAGCTTGAAAATTATGAAAAGTAGGATCATACTGTTTGATAAATAATTATCACAATTCTTGTTGCTAAAATTGCAGAATATTGATGTAAAACAGTTAACCATAACACTCATGAATTTAATATTTTGTATGTTTCAGGTGCACATGAAGTTGTTAAACAGGAGATTGCAGTCGGGAGCCTGCTTTCTCATACAACAACAACTAAATAAATATGTATTCAAAGAAGACAGTCCTGTCACTTTAATATTATTGTTTGAATTGTTGATATTGTGCAATTATTACGTTACAGCAAACTAAAAATATGGATTCGCTTCATGTAAAACTATTCTATTCGCATTAAACAGGGACAGTATATAGAGGGGATTGGCAACTCTGCCCCAGTCAAGATTCTATAGCATGTCGCTTTTGTGTTTGTTCACTGAACCGCGAAGTCATCGAGAGCCCTCTCTATCAGCCCGCGCTTGCGCACTAGCGTTAAAATCATGTCACCAATCTCGCCGAGATGGGAGTGTTTTGATAATGGTTAGCCCTGATTGGGACTGTGTATTAGTAGGTCTTCTTTTTATTCCAGGGACAGGCCTAGGGCTATCGTTGCCACTATGTCTAGCCTTTCGGCTGTGTTGGTGGCTATTACAACAAATCACATTTCGTAAAGCACGTTCCAGTGAAAATAATGCTAATATTGACACTTTTTGACACAAAAACAGCACAAGTTATTTGTTATTTTTTGCCATAAAAATTAGTACTACATATCAAAAAA